TTGTAAATTTATGGAGGCTTGCTTTGTGACCTAACACATGGTCAATTCTGAAAAATGTTCCATGTGCACTGGAGAAGAATGTATATTGTGCTGTTGTTGGGTTAAATGCTCTATATACATCTATGAAGTCAAATTGGTTGATTGGGCTGTTTAGTTCCTCTGTAACTTTGTCGAGTTTCTTTCTGGTTCTTCTCTGTCCCTTTTCAAAAGTGGCATATTAAAATCTCCCACTATAATTGTAGATTTATCTATTTCTTTCTTCAATTCTAGTAAGGTTTTCTTCATATACCTTGGTGCTTTTTCTTTGGGAGCCTAGATATTTATTATGGTTATGTTGTCTTGCTCAATTGACCCTTTGATCATGATATAGTGTCCTTCTTTATCGCTTATGCTGGTTTTTGTCTTAAAGTTTACTCTATCAAAGATTAGTATTGTCAATCCTGCTTGTTTATTATTGCAGCTAGCTTGGTATATTCTTTTTCCATCCTTTAACTTTTAGTCTGTTTTTGTCTTTGTGTGTAAGGTATGTCTCTTGCAGGCAGCATATTGAAGGGTCTTGTTTTCTTATCCATTCTGCCACTCTCTGTTTCTTCACTGGTGCATTCAATCCATTGACATTCAATGTAATTATTGATAGGTATGAATTCCTTAAGGAGCTCTGGTAGTGTAGTGGTTATGAATTGGTCTGTGAACCGCTAGGTCAGCAGTTCAATACTACTATCTGTTATGCAGTTGAAAGATGAGTCTCTCTGCTCCTGTAAAAATTTACAGCCTTGGAAACCCTGTACAGGGTCGCTATAAGTCAGAACCAACTCCACAACACATAACAACAACAAATGAATTAATTCCTGCCATTATGTTAATTTTTTGGTAGTGCTGGTCGTTCATTTGTTCTACATGCCTTCTTGTGCTAAGTTTGAGTTTTTTGTGCTATTTCTTGTCGGTTTTTTTCTTAGTTTTCATGTTTGCTTGCTCTTCTTGGAAGTTAATTTTCATGTTAAGTTGTGAAGTATTAACTTTTGAGGGGTTTACCTTATAGTCTATTAACTTTTCTCTCCATTTAAGACAATCTATTGTATCCTGTAATCTACCTTACCTCCTCATCACTTGGATCTCTGCTCCTATATTTTCCCCTTTTTTGACATTGAAATTATTTTGATATTTGGTTGACCTCCCAGTTCCTTTGAATTCATTGTTATCGTTTTGTTTTGTTCTGTACTCTGCTATCTGTCATCTGAGTTTCAGGTGGTGTTGCTATGCCTGTCAATCTCTGGTTTTTGTCTGTTGTTTTTGGTTTGCAGTCCAAAGAACTACCTTTAGGATGTTTTGAAGTGCTGGATTGGCTTTGATAAAATCTCTTAACTTCTGTTTATCCTGGAATGTTTTGATTGCATCATCGTATTTGATTGACAGTTTTGCTGGATAGAAGATTCTTGGTTGGCAGTTTTTTTCTTAAGGGTTTTATATATGTCTCCCATTGCTTTCTTGCCTGCATGGTTTCTGCTGAGAACTCAGAGCTTAATCTGATTTGCTTGCTTTTGTAAGTAACACTTCTCTTTTCCCTGGCCACTTTTAGGATTCTCTCCTTGTCTTTGATTCAGGAGAGCTTAATTATTATATGTCTTGGTGATTTTCTTTTGGAGTCTATTCTTCCTGGGGTACATTTGGCTTCTTGAATTTTTATCTTCTCACCTTTCAAGATGTTAGGGAAATTTTGTTACAGAAGCTCTTCAGCTGTCTCCTCTGTGGACTTCTCTGATTCTTACGGTTCTGGAATGCCAATAATTCTTAAGTTCTTCTTCTTCATGTTATCCAGCATGAATCTTAGACTTTCTTCAGATCTTTTTTTATCCTTTTTCTGCTTGCTGGTCTATCTTATCAGTATTGAGAGATCTGTCTTCCAGCTCGCTACTTCTGGCTTCCATCTCTTGAATTCTGCTCCTTTTCCCTTTCAGTGTATTGTCCATTTATGATATTTTATTATTAATCATCTGGAACTCTTTTTATTTTTTTTGGAAGGTTTTGAATTGTTTCCAATGCTGTTATCAATCTTGTTTGATTGCTCTTGTAGTAGCTTCCTGACTTCTCCTTTGTTTTCCTCAACCCCCTTTTGGAGCATTTGAATTTGTTTCCATATTATTCTTCTAAATTCCTTCTCAGGCAAACCCAAAACCTGCTCTTCCTCTTCTGGAGAGCCTTTGTCTTTTCCCAGCTCATTTGTCTGTTACTCTTCTGTTTTTGACATATTTTGGGATCTTTTGTGTGTTTTTTAGTTATCTCCAGTAGTTATATGGGTTTTTAATGCTTAATTGGATGCTTGTTGCTGTGTTATTAAGCTTTCTGGGTGTCTCCTGGTGGATATGATCATGAGATAGGCTTCCCTTTTCATGTGTAATGTTTAGCAGCTGTTATTGGCTCTTGTCTCAATGGTGGAATATTATGGGGGTATGGTTGTAGCTTGGCTACATGGCCACAACTTCTTTGTTTCCTGGGTAATGTAGGGAGAAAAAGTTCCCCCCTCAGGAAATACATGTGGTCAAAAGGACCAAAAACAGAAGCAATATAAAAGCAGAGACAAAAACCACCACTTTGAAACAAAAATAAAACTGTGGCAGACTGGCCAATTGCCTTGTGACACAGGACATGTGTGTGCACTGTAGAAGCCTCCATCAGTCAAGACTTCACTTTTAGTTCCATGACCCAGCAGTTAACTAACATCCACAGTCTCCCCATTCCAGGTCTGCTATTGTGCATCTGCCTCCTGAGACTCTTAACACTCAGTTGCTTAGAGGAAGAACACATTTTGCAGGAAATATTATAAATTATTATCTGATTATGAAATTAGCATATTATATAGAACTGTTTGAGAAAACTATTTTCTTAAGTGTGAAAAAAATATTAAATTTGTAAAGTTGAAAGTTAGCATTTGGCTCTGCGGGTTAATGCACTGTACTACGAGGTTGGTTTGAACTGCAAAGTTGGTGGTTCAAGCTCACCAATCACTCCTTGGAAACCCTGTACAGGGTTGCTGAGTCAGAAGTGACTCAATGGCACTTAATAACATAGAACTACTTTACAAAACTTCTGAAGTCTGAATAAAAGATTAACCACATATTTTCAGTCAAATAAACTATTTCCTCAGAGAAATATTGCTATCATTTTCTATTCTCATGGAAGTAGCATCAACTTCTAAAGTCACTGATGTAGCATTTAGCATTTAAAATTTAGTGGTTCTACAAAAGCCACATGGCCAAGAGTTACAGGGTTATTCCAAAATGCCCATGGCATTCTTGAAAAGCAAAACATTTAGAAGGTTGTCTTCTCACCATATATGTATGTGTCCAAAATTAATTTGAAGCAGAATTTCCTACTCAATATCTTAAATATGTTCACGTATTGTTACTTATGTGATATAACTGAGGAAGAGAAACTAATTGAAAATGTCTTGAGGATGTGTAACCTTTTCCTTTAATTTGTTGTATACACAGTGGTCAACAATCTACAGCCACAGTACAAATCTGGCCCATCACTTGCTTTTGTAAAGTTTTATGAGAATGCAGTCATGCCTGTGTATGGTCTGTCTGCTTTCATATGAAAATAGAGTTGAGTAGTTGGCTACTCAACTAGATGGTCCACAATGCTAAAAATTTGTACTATTTTGCTCTTTGCAGAAAATTTCCAACCACCAGTGTATACTATTAAGTGCTTTAGTAGGAAATCTATCCTCCACCACAAAATATATCAGTATTTCCTTTTAAAAAGCACATAAATTAGGCCCCCCAAAACAACAACAACAAAAATCCACTTAAGCCTTCAGATTCAGTATGTTTCCCAGATTTCCTTCCAGGAATGAATTTCTATTCAAGAAAATTAGACACCCAATTTCAAAAAGTGTTCTTTTATTATTTCTAGTAACATATATTGTATAAATACTCTATTTTATATGTCCTTTTACAAAAGAGGTATAACTTAAAAAGATTTATCATTATAAAGAAAGTATAAAAATAAATATGTTTATATAGGCATTTATTACAAACTACAGTCCTTCTTGGAAGGAAGACACAAATCAATACTTATAAAGTACATATAATTTATAGTAACATATTTTACTATATACATATGGAAAGACATAATATCTATCATAATTGAAGAGCTGGACAGACATTCACCAGGATATGACTGTTGGAACAGCTGCTGGGGATGGACCTGCTACCCCTCAGTAGCCTCCACATCGTGAGACAAGTAATCTCAATGTCCCCAAACACAAGGGATCTGTTCCACCCACCCCTTCTTGGTCTGGCTTGACATTCTTTTTGTGTGATCTGATTGACTTTCTTGAGACACATGATTTCTTCATATGCACATTGCTAAAGTAAGCCTACTTAAGGAGGAAAGAAAGGGAGGAGGTACCGAATGCTCTGTGGCTCCTCTAATTTTTACAGGAGTCCTGGTGTGGCGCTGTGGGTTAATGCACCAGACTGCAAAGCCGTTTGAACTGCAAGGTCGGTGGTTCAAGCTCACCAGCTGCTCCTCCAAAACCCTATACAGGGTCACTATGAGTTGGAACCAACTCGACGGCACTTAACAACAACAACAATACACCATTGCTTCCTTTTTGCCTCTATATACTTAATGCATTTTTAAAAACTACATGTAATTATTTCTTCAACAAAATTAATTACACAAATAAAGGTAAAGATGATACAAAGAAGGTAAAAATGAAGCCATTGGAGCCATTTCAGTTTGCTAAGCATATCTCTCAGGCCGGACAATCTGAACTCTTAACTCTTGATAAGAAATATGATGTAAATAGTCTGAAAGCCCAGCTGCTGGTCACATATCCAATTTGTACTTTCTCCCCTCATGGTAAGTGAGGTAAAGTAAGCTATGATTTAAACCCCCAAACTCATCTTTCTCCTGCTTTTCTTTTCTCAACCCCCAGGATACAAAAGATTTCATTAGTACCAGGAAACAGAGGCTGTAACCTTTCTTAAACTTACTTTGACAATGTTCTCTTTTTTTTGAACTTGTGATGAATGCAACAAAAGCAATAATAATAATGCCCTGGGGCGTTATCATCTTCTAATAATTCACATTACACTAGCCTATCATATTTGTAAGTGGCAGGAAATTCATGACCTAACTTCTTTCCAATCTACTTCCAACCTCCCATTTCATTGACACTCCTTGACGACCTGCAAGGTACATTAGGTTCCTTCAGCCTTCTTGATTTCAGTGCATCTATCAGCCCTTCCCCACTTCGCTTTTCCCTCATCACTGCTATTGCTTAACTGCATTCTGCCATTGTACAAAAGTCTATGTAATGTTTAGGTTTCTTTAAAGGATCACAGCTCTCATGGGCCAACACTCCCCCATCATTGGACAAGCACTTCAAGGTTCTCTTTTTATAACCCTTCCCACAAGTCTTAGAACATGGTGACCATTCCCCCAGCTGCCAATGGGGACAGGGCACATCTGCACAGGGCCTGGTGCTGGCTGGCTTCACTTCCTTGGCACACTCTGAAGCGGGCTGCCCATTAATGTCTCTGCATTCCACCAGTCTTCGCTGCCACCCTGATCCACATGACTTGGAACACTCTCCCCACTCTTCAATGACCCATTCTGAGAAGGTAGGGATAGCATTAAAAGATTCCTTCTTCTTCTTCACGAAATAAGTGTATTTGATTTTAGGTCGAAGGGCATTGCCCACGGTTAGGACCTGGATGGTTAAGGGTTCTTTGAGTGGACTAAAGCTGAGGATTCTCTCCAACACTGCAGAGGAGCCACTGTACCTCAAGACATTACCTTTGTATGTAATGTCTTGCTCTAAAGTGGACAAGGTGAAGTCACCATTAAGGATATATGTGCCATCAGCAGCTCTGATGGCAAGAAAACTTCCATTGTTTCTGGATCCCCTCTGATTCCGCTGTTTCACTTCAATGTTTGTAGCTCCAGTTGGAATTGTGACAATATCATGATACCCAGGTCTGCAAGCATGGAAATAGACATAATAAGCTCTCATTCATTAGCTAATTGTTTTGCTTAAAAATATGTTATTAATCATGTAATTTTTCTCAGACCTTTAAAAAAAACTACATCTAAATTAAAAGGTCATTTTAAAACTTACTTTGCGCTAGTGACTGATCCTGATATTTTCTTACATGTAGATCCATTTCCACCACAAATACCACATTTATCAAATTTCTTTTTGGAGTCTATGATACGATCACAACCAGCTTTTACACATTGTCCTTGCACACAGACAGAGGTGGAATCGGGGCTACATGGAGTACCATCCACAACCTAGAAAAAAACACCATGTATCTGCTGTTACACATTAGCAAAGGAAAGAAACGATGCAATGAAAACTAAGAAAGTTTTGCTCATGAACATTAGTTCTCTGCTTTCCTGACCATCCTAATTAACATCCTGTAATATACATTACAGGAATCCTGGTGTGGCACTGTAGGATAAGCACTGGACTGGTAACCACTAGGTTTGTGGTTCAAACCCACCATGCTGCTCCTTGAAAACCCTAAACTGACTCTATGCACTTAACAACGATATAAGTTGCATACTCTCCTCTCTGAATTACAATACTTATCATTACTAGTTGCCACTGGGTTACTTCCAACTCATGACAACACTGTGTGATACAGCAGAACTGAATTCAATTAGGGCTTTCAACACCTCATTTAGATTGCCAGAACTTTCTTTTGAGGTGCCTCTAGGTTAATAGTAAAAGGCTCTAAACTTTGGCACTACTCAAGGACACCATAGTATTTAGACATCTGACAAAAAAAAAATACCATTGCTTTATTATTTGTCCATTGCCTTAATCTCCTCTTTAGCTAAGGTCAGGCAGAGTTGTTTTTGTTTTCTCTCTCTTGGATCCTCAGGGCCTATATCGGGCAATACTGTTGTTAAGTGCCCTGAGTGGGTTCCAACACCTAGCGACGCTGCATAGGGTTTCCAAGGAGCAGCTGGTGAGATTGAACTGCAGACCTTGCATTTCAAACTGACCTCATAGTGTAGTTCACTAACCCACACTAGTAGGCGCTCTATACATCAATTGTTCGATCTGTAACTTGGGAATATTTTCACAAGGCTAATCAATGGCAAATAAGAGTCTTGGTGTGGCACTATGGGATAGGATAGATAGGTACTAGACTGCTAACCACAAGGTCAGTATTTCAAACCCACCAGCTGACTCCTCTGAAACTCTATACAGGGTTGCTATGAATCAGAATCTACTTGCCAGGACTTAACAACAATAATGACACATTAGGGGAGTGTGGTGACTCTGTATGATAAGTACTAGACTGTGAATCACAAGGTCAGTGGATTGAGCCTACCAGCCACTCAGGTTGAAAGATTAGCCTTTATGCTCTCACAAAGATTTCCCACCCCTGGAAATCCTATACAAGGTCATTATGAGTCGGAATCAACTCCACAGCACTTAACAATAATAATAGCAACCAAATTAAATTACATTTTCTCAGAGCCAGATTTAGTTCTTCACCCTAATAAAACAACTAACAGTGTGATGCTTCTATTTGATAGTGTCCTCAAAATGATAAGTATCAAATCAATGCACACACTTCTAGTTTAATAAGTGCATCTGCCCATGCTATTATTGTTAGTCACTCCATAACAAGTACATTGGACGAAGTCTAAACTGTTTTGCAGATGTACTGGCTACAGTGTTAATATGTAAATGATCTGATCATGAGTTGTATGTGAAATTTAGCTAACCTCAAGCACTGAGTTTCACTTAAGAGAAGCACTTAATTTTTCAGAAGACTTAATTTAAAGGTTGGTGGTTCAAACCCACCAGCTGCTCCTCAAAATCCTATACAGGGTTGCAGTGAGTCAGAATCGATTTGATAGCCCTTAACACCAACAATCTTTATGAGGCAGATTGCCAGGTCTTTCTTCCATAGGAGCCTCTGGGTGTGTTTGAGATGCTAATCTTTCGGTTAACAGCCAAGAGCTTAATCATTGTACCACCATGGTTACTCTTCTTTGTATGTAAGAGTAATACTAAATAGCTGAAAAAATCGTTAGAAATTAATTAATTCAAGGTTCTTTCATTAACTTCAAACAACATCAAATTCAAAGGAATCATTTGCTAATTTGAAATTGAACACAAGTTCTTATATAAACTAAAGAAAGCATGTCAAAGGTTGAATGAAAAGGTAGTAAGTCAAGGTCTTGGTTTGTAGCCAGATAATAATTATAAATGTAATAACTACCTTGGGCTGTAAAACAAAGAAGTAGCCAATGCCTTTGGCTTGACAGATGAGCTTGCACCTGTCCTTTGGAGAAACGCCAGCATACTTGGGCGTCCACTCCACTGCAGGCCCACTCCCAAAGGAAGTTTTGGAAAAGTCATTGTGTGCCTCACATTGCTCCTCCCTGAAGGTCTTTCCTGGAAAGAGAATCATAGAATGATATTATCAGTTTCCATGCTTTAACTGCCTGTTTGTAGGTACATCATTTTCACCCACTTCTCAAAATTAGAGCCAATTTCTACTCACCATTATTATCTGGACAGTCTTCAATGTTACAGGACCGGTAGCGTACTCTCTTGCCTTCACAGTACTTTCCTCCATTCTTTGGGACTGGATTTTCACATTCTCTCATTGTATACTGAACTCCTCCACCACAAGTCCTCGAACAGTCTCCCCATGGCCCCCAGGGTCCCCAGCTTCCATGAACAGGAGTCTAAATGGGAACAAAAACAGCCAGCATTAGAATTCTGTAAAGAGCACTTTCAGAAAAGAAAAATTGATAGAATCAATCACAAAAATAATCTATCTTGCAGACACAGATTGGGGTGTTTAACTTGATAACAAATTATTTTAACATCATTTTGAAGCACAGTTCTACTTTGAAACACAAAGGGTCACCATAAGTTGGAATTGACTTAGTGACAAGTTTTCTTTCCTTCTTTTTTTTTCTTGGAAGGGCTGTTCTTTTCAATTCCAACACTGAAAGGAGTATGAATATGTCAGTAGAAAAACTCACACCAAAATGCTTCTTGTCTGTCTTGTTCACACATTTGCCACCGACACACCACTTTCCTTCTCCACAGCTGGTCCCATCTGCCCAAGGAAAGTGTTTGGTTTGGCACACTAGCAGCCCACCAGAGGTGCCTGTACACCATAAAGTTGTGCATGTGCTGGCTGCGTCAGGGCAATGCTTGGATTCCTCCCCAAATGTAAACTGGCACTGTCGGTTGGCATCATACAAGGTCCCTGGGAGATCGGAGGGTAGCTGTATGGGACTCTGGGGTTTGTCCATCAAACATTCCCCTGAGAAGAAAATGACAGGGAGTCATGAATAAGCAACAAATAAAAGCATGCAGGGGATAAATCACAGTTCCAGAGAATACTTATCAAGAGACATAATATCAAGCAAAAGGATTTGAAACCTCCAGCGCTTCTGAGCATAACATTGGAAAAATGGAAAAATCTAAAATATTTTTTATCCTGAATGGGCTAATAATGACATGAAATTACTGTTCTTAAATTAATCTACTTTGGATTAATTTGAAATAATCTACTTTGGGATTTATTCAGCCAGAAGCACAATATCTTATTGAGAATTAAGATCTAAAAATTGACAGTCTTAGTTAAAATTTTGAAGGAGGTAAACTAAAAAGAACAAAAATTAAAAAAAAAAGAAAAGAAAAGAAGAAGAGAGCTTATTTAACCAGAACCTTAAAGTTGGAAGCTGGGATATCATCTAGAAAGAGCATCTTGAATGTCTTACCATGACCATTATCCAGAAATGATGTAATCATGTAGGCACTGCAGGGAGACCAAGGCTGGCTGCGGTCCAGGTTGGAGAGCATTGACGCCATCATGTGAGAATCCCGGTTCTCACCATTAATGTTGCCACACTGCTTTGCATCATCATGTGGCATGTTAAACACGTGGCCTAAGAAGCAATCCAAATTTCACTTAAAATATAGGTCATGCCCAACAATTTTTTTTGTCTTAAAGTGTTATAAGTAAAGACAGACATTTATTTTTGGAGACAACACCTGCTTTTCACAGGTATAAAGAAAGATGTCAGTTCCAGATGTCCACAAAAGAGGGGGGGTAAATCCCCAAAGCACTGCCATGATACATAGTAACCCTATAATAGAACCACAGGGTTTCCAAGGCTATAGGATAAGCACTGGACCAAAACTCATGAGCCGCTCCTCAGAAACCCTACACAGGGTTGCTGAGTCAGAAACAGCTTGACAACACTTAACAACAATAATCTTTATGGAAGCAGACTGCCACATCTTTCTCTCATAGAGCGGTAGTAGGTTTCAACTGCTGACATTCTGGTTAGTAGTTGAGCATTTAACTCACTCTGCCACCAGAGCTCCTCCAAATGTGCATACCAAGCCAAAAACAAAACAGTTCCTACCTTTTTTTTTTTAACCAAACAGCTCCTACATTTTTTTTTTTTTTTTTACTTTTTATTATGTATTGTTGTTTAAGTGCCCTCGAATTGGTGTCAACTCATAGCAACCCTGGTGGTTAGCAGTCCAATGCTATTATTATACAGCATCACACCAGGTAATTTTGAAATTGCGGGAAAAAATTTTTTCTACAGTTTCAAAGAAATAAAATTATTATTGTATGAGCTCCTTCTTAAATTCATGTATTTGTTTATCAGTGTGAATTTATGAATTGAATTTAGCTCTTAGAATAAAATAAACTCACCTAATTCATGGGCTGTGGTGAAGGCAGCTTGTAAACCGTCATCTTCTATGACTGAGCAGCTTCTGCTAGGATCACACATAGTTCCAACATCAGCCATTCCCAAAGTGTCACATGTTTGGGCACCACATAGGTCCTAGGAAGAACAAAGGTGCATTCTTATTAATAGGGCTAGAGTATGAGTCTTAGGCCCTTACTTTTTGGCAGGGAGTGTCTTCACATATGTTTTGGAGCATCTCCATTCACTGTTGTTGAATGGTCCTTTATGAGGACTATATAGAACTTACGCAGATATAAGTACAAAAGTATTGGTGACAACTCTCTCTCTCTCTCTCTCTCTATATATATATATACATGTATATATATTTGTTACAAAGCAGACTTCTGGGATGAATATGTCATAAGTGCTACCATCTTCCTGCTCACCTGTCTGGTAAAAAGAATTGCAGTGTCATAGTGCTCAGCATCTCGGTCACTAGGTGGGTTGTGCTGCTTTTGCCAATTGCAGAAGTTTCTCAGTGTGAGAGCAGCATTAGAGGTCACTTCTGGACCTTTTTGTTCCTCATAGATGACCAGGATCTTCACAACCACCAGGCTAATTGAATTCCGAATACTGGGGTGTTTGTACAACCTGGATGCCACCGAGAACAAGGTGAGAAGGTAGTGCTTCAGGCCATTGCCGTGGAACTCTGCCATTGATTGGTCAGCCACAAGCATGGTTTCCACATAGCGGTGGCTGGACACAAAACGTTTCTTTCTTATGCTTCCAGATCCTGTAAGGCAACAAGAAAGATCATTTGCTCATGAGCTGTCTATCCAATAATTGTTACTTTGGGATACAAAGAAAATCTAACCAATCAATGCCAATAAACATGACAAAAATATACCTGGAACAAAAGTAATAGAAAAAAAAATTGCAACTCTTTTTCTTTGGAAATGTCATTTTTAAAAGCCCTCTTTAAATAAAAAGGCCTGGTGCTCCTTTAATGTGGTCAGACTATAATTTTTAGGATCTGGGTTTTGGCCCTTTGTTCTTTCAATCTGCACAAGGCAGTATGCACATCATCCTCACCAACCTTAGTAAAAACCTGGAGCAAAGGCAGTAGGCAGAGCGCCCTGAGTCACTATTTCACAGGCCAGGAGTCAAATCCTGAATGAGATCATCGGTCTCCACGTGGAAAGCCCTGGGCAGGGCTGGGGCTGGTGCCAAGGGGCAGGGCTTGAAAGAATCTGTTCTGAGTTCTCGTCCCAGGGGTCCCTTGGGTGTGTGCTCATGCCAACTCCGGGCACAAGGACCACCCACTTAGTTCATCTGCCTATTGCTTCACTTCCACAGT